AATCAGTCCTGATAACAATTTTCACCATTGCATCACATGAGACCCTTCTGCATTTCTTTTCATCAGCCCTTCCTAGACAGGTTGGGTACTATTCACTGGAGACTCCACTATCCTCCCTGCCCTGTGGATCTAGGTTCCCTCTTGAAAGCTTGTAAGCCAGTTGCTTCTTACCTTTATATCCCTCCCCCATTTTGGGTGGCCAATGTTCAAGTTGCCCAACCCTTCCCTCTCTTTGTATGGAGGGGATGGGAATAACTCTTGTAGTCAGTAATTGTTTCCTCTTTTGAGCCACTGCAGTTATATGTGTAGGTCCAGTTCATCCAGTTGTATCAGATGACACTTTTTTTTTTTCCCCCCCTCTTCCTTCTTCCTCGGGTTGAGTTCTGTTCATCCAGTCATTGAAGCCAGGTCAAGTGGGTATCATCTGCAAGTGTGGGTGTTCTTGCATCTGTCTGCCCTCTTCTTATCAGCTGGTCTCTTCACTCTCCACTCTAGTCCTCTATAGCTGTGTCACTGACTCTGAGCCCATGAGTTCCCCAGTCCCGCCTCACTGCTGGGCAACCGAGTCTCCACCCCGGTTCACAGTAGTCTGCTGAACGATGCAGGGCTTAGTTCGCCGCTTCATTGGTGTTCTTAGGCCACTTCTCTTTATAGGTGACATGAGTGGTGGCCAATCAGAGCGTGTATTTCCCTTGCGTCTTAGTCTTGGGAGAGGATTTGTGCTGAGAGGATCCGTCCACTTGCCTTGATGTCTCCTGGGCTAGCAGCCTACTTGTTCTTGTGGTAGCAGTCGGACTGCCCTTAGTGTTCTGTGTTTTTCCTGTAGGTCTTTCTTTCAAGAAGTGTCTTCTGGTTTTCTGGGTGTTCCAGGCTGATCTGCTTGCCCTTTCGAGAGGAAGGTTTCCCATCTCTGGAGGTCTGGATGTGGTTAGGCTTTGATCTATATTCTTCCGTACTGCCGAGGCTCTTCAGGAATCCTCCTTTACTGCATACCTTGTAGTCCCATTTTAGGTATTCCAATCAGTTATAGGCAGAAGACGGACTTATAAGCTTTCTATGGTGACACCTCTGGCTATTCCTTTTTCTCCCTCTCCCGTGTCTGTTTTATAATATAATGCATGGGAAAGCAAGGTTCAAAAGTCAGCCAAGCATCATAACATTATTCCCCCCTTTCCCCCATTCCAACCATATCCCAGTCTCTGTATCCCAGAACCCTGTTGTTCCAAGGCTGGGCCTACATCATTTTTTACTTCTGTCCCATTTAGATCCTTCATACCTGTCTAGTTGTTCTCCCATCTGCCTTGTTCTTCCATTCCCCTCTACCTACTTGTATATTGCCCCCACCCCCCTCCCAAACTATCCTGTGTCTAGTCCCTGCCCAGTGCTCCACCTTCCTCTCCCTCCCTTAACCCTACCCCTATGTCCTAGCAGCCTGCTGGAAATCCTCTTTAGTAGGATAGTATGGGTTCTTTTTCTTAGTCTTTTACAGTAGTGGTCCTATGCAGTATTTTTCCTTTTGTGGTTGACTAATTTCACTCAACATAATGTCCTTAAGGTTCATCCATGTTAGGAAGTGGCATGCAGATTCCTTGTTACTTTTCAAGGTAGCATAGTATTCCGTTTTGTGTATGTACCACAGCTTGTTTATCCATTCTTCAGTCGATGGGCATTTGGGCTGTCTCCATCTTTTTGGTACTGTAAATAGTGCAGCTATGAACATTGGTGTGCATATATCTTCCCGTGTTGTAGCTCGTTTTTCTTGTTGGTAAATACCAAGTAGAGGAATTGCTGGATCAAATGGTATATTTTCAACCTTCTGAGGAAGCGCCATATTGCTTTCCATAGAGGTTAGACCATTTTGCAGTCCCACCAACAATGCAGGAGTGTTCCAGTCTCTCCACATCCCCGCCAGCATTTATTGTCCTCAGCTTTTTTGATTTTTGCTGTTATTGCTGGTGTGAGATGGTATCTCATTGTTGTTTTGATTTGCATCTCTCTAATGGCTAGTGATCGTGAACATTTCTTCATATGAAGTGTCTGTTCACATCCTGTGCCCATTTCTTAATTGGGTTATTTGTCTTAGTTTTGTAGATGTGTAGTATTTTCCTGTGTATTCTAGAGATGAGTCCCTTATCTGATATATCGTTGCCAAAGATTTTTTCCCAGTCTGTGGTTTCTCTTTTTACTCTCTTAGTGAAGTCTTTTGATGAACACAAGTTTTTAATTTTTAGTATGTCTCACTCATCTATTTTGTCTATTTTTGAACACTGTAATCTTTATAGAAGCTGAGTCACATTATTCTCCTATGGAGCAGCTGGTGGGTTCTAACTGCTCACCATTTGGTTAGCAGTTGAGTGCTGTAACACTGTGCCACCAGGATTCCTAAGGCAGTTTGTTACTGTTAAGTGCCATCAAGCCAATTCTGATTTATAGTGACCTGTATAGGGTTTTCAAGGAGGAGCCAGATTTGAATCACTGATCTTGCTGTTAGCAGTTCAATACTTATCCTACAGCGCCACACCAAGACTCTTCCAAATAAGATAGACTGTGTAGTGCGTGCATATTCCCAAGCGTGCAGTAGACTTAAAGGTAGAGTGCAGACTTTGTTGAGGCTCTATCCTTGTTTAGAGTAACATCAGATATCTTTTCCTCAGTGTATCCTCTTCAGCCATAGTTTTTCTGCAATCTTGTGAATTTTAGGGAAAGTTCAGGGATCATTTCTAGAAAGCCGAGGTCACCATGAGATCACATTCCCTAGATCTATTTCTAAAATCAAACCAACTCCATCTTACATGCCTAGAAACAGTATATGCTGTGAAAAAGTAAATTTTTCGTCAAGAAAGCAGGTCTGGGACTTTTATGTTCATGAGGGAGGATATGGACCAGCCTAGATTGAAGAGAAAAAAATTCAAAAGGGCTTATATACTTCACAAGTAGAACATTTCTGTGTTACATAAAATTCAGTCCTCAAAAAAAATGTGTTATTGTGAGTGTAACTTGTTGTAAAGAATTAAATTAGCTGGGAAATAATCAGATGTTAATTTATCTTGAAGAGACTTTAATTTCAGTTAAATGTCAGTGATTAAATCCCAAGTAAAGCTTAACCTAAAATTTGAAGGCTGGGTCTTTAAGACCAACAGGAAAGTGGCTACAGTTTGTTTTTATTTCTCTGTGTTTTTTTTTTTAAACACTGTAGGCAACAGCATTATTGAAAAAAGCCCATAGAGAAGAGTGTGCGGATAGGTCTATTCACAGTGATGAATCATCTTGCAGCTTGCCATCTATTCTGAATGACAATGGAGGAATAAAGGAAGCCAAGCTCAGTCCATGGCTCAATAGTGTTCATACAAGGGAACAAGGTAACTATTGTTAGAAGGTCTGTAAACAGCAAAAAAGCATTCACAGTCACCATGACTGTTTCTCAAGGTATACCTATAAAATAAAACCAGCTCGACAATACCTCTGATTTTTAACATACATAATACATTATTTGTTTATATACTTCCAATAAGTATGTGTACCCTTATTTGTTCTAATAGACTGAATGGGAAACCTAATTCTAGGTCTATAGTTATGCTGAATTTCTAATAAAATAGATATGTATAAGTTATGAAATCTTAACAGAACTCATTCCTGGGGGCAGAAGGTAATTTTGATCATCTTACAAAGGGGAAGATGATTCCATTAAAAGGATTCCATAAAAGTACTGTGGAGTTTTTATATCACTTATTGCAATTTATTTATGATTTTTCAATATTTTAAAAATTATCATAGGACCTCATCAGAGTCTAAACAGGTGGTTATGAAGCAATGAATTTATACTTCCAAAATTTAATAGCCAATTTTTAATATCCAGAAATGGTCATTATTCTAGCATTCTTATGAAAGCATGCCAGTAAAGTGCTAGAACAATGTATCCGAGACACTTATGAGTTGCTCAGGATAAATTCAAAAGTCGATACACATGTGGAGCATTTGAGGCTCACTTGTTTTAAATCTCACTCAAATTTGATAAATGTCAGACTGATTTTGCATGAAAATAACAGATTTAGAATAGATAACCTTTTTAGGAATAATACGATTTCAGATATGAAATAAAGTACCTAGAAACAGAAGGGAAGGGAAGACAGTAAAAATAAAAAGAAATGGCAGTTAAAACAAAGGCCTGTTTCATAGTATAACTGTGAAATGCATTTTTATTTTTATATGTTCAAATTTTAGATGTTTCAAGCTGCTGCAAAGAGGAGAGCAAAGAAGGAAGTGTGGCAACAACGATTCCAGTCACAGGTAAAAGTGATGGATTTCCTAAGAATTTCAAATACAGGCTTGAATCTGATTACTGAATCTAAACATTCTATATTGGTGGTTTGTGGACTTGCTAAGAGCTAGTATATTCAACTACTAGATGCTTGTTATTGTTAAGTAAGCAGGAGGTTAATCATAAGATAAAGTATGAGCTTATGCTAACACTAACTAACGGTGTCTATTGGATTCCTCATATTCAGGTCATACATTTACACATGTTCATTTCCCCCATCATACAGCCTTTCAGCTCCTGCACTGTGTGAAAAGGTCAATCCCCATGGGAAACACCCCATCATTACACAGCAAACTACAGATGTTTCTGATTTGATTCTGTTCTTTCCAATCATTACAATAAGAGCACAGGGAAAGTGCTAGACAGGAAACTTGTTTGTGCCTCAGTTACAAAACCCATCTGATCATTTAAAATTTCCAGCACTAAGATTTCAACAAGACCTATTAAAAGTAAATATTTTATTTAGATGGAATCTGAATGATATCATAACATATTTATTTTAGTTTTAGAATATCAACAGCAACAATTAGTATTCTGAACTGAGTTCTCTTTGTTGTACACTAAATTTTTATTGGTGTTAAGTGCCATTGAGTCAGTCCCATATAGGGTTTCCAAGGAGCATCTGGTGAGTTTGAACCTTGTACAAACCAACCTTGTGGTCCACTGCTTTATCCCACAGTGCCATACCAGGACTTCACATATAAATTTACTAGTACCTTATTCTGAAAAGTGGTGTATTACTTCATTATAAATCCAGATGTCAGAGTCTATGCATACACGGACCATGTGCTAAGGTTCTGAGGCATGCATCTGCATCTGAGGTCGTTCTGAAGGACATCGTGCTTGGAGTAGAGAATCAGTGAAAAAGAGTAAAGTTCCAGTGAGATGAATTGATACAGTAGCTGCAACAATGGGCTCAAGCATAATAACAATTGGAGGGTGGCACAGGACCAGGCAGTATTTCCTTCTGTTGTACATGGGGTTGCTACGAATTGGAATCAACTCGACGGCATCTAACAACAACAACAATAAGCAGAAAATAGTGACTTTCTCTTAAGACAATGCACTTCATGGCACGATGATTAATTTTTTAAAAACCCATGTTTCTGTGATGGCCCCTGGTGTTTAAAAAAGAGTTTTTAGTAGAACAATTATTGTGTATATTCTATATCAGATAATATTTCATTTCAGAATAGATTTTTCTTTTAAACATCTGTCTCAATATTATTACTTATTATTCATTTTGAGAAAATTCCTGATTACTTTTATTAGTAGGAGAAATGTAGATGATCCCAAACTGCAGATAATCAACAAGTCCTTTGTCTGTTTTCCCCTTCCTTTATGTTTGAATGTAGACAAATCTAGTGGTCTGAATTTATTTCTGTTAAAATTAAGACCTTGATGAGAAGTGGGAAGTGACCTAGTTGGCCACTCTTTCTTCTATGCAGATGTTCTTTATACTTACTCCTGCATAGGAGGAGATGACTCTCCCAAAAAGTAACACAAACGCCATTTTCTCATAGACGTGGTTTATTTGATAAAAAAAGGTCATTAAGTACTGGGGTTTCCATTTTTTTTTTCTTTTTGAAAAAACAGGTACAAATGTGCCTAGATTTCCCATGAAAAATTGAAAATAAATTATGATTTTAACAATCAGTGTTGTTGGTGTTGTTGTTAGGTGTCATTGAGTCAATTCCGACTCATAGCATGACCCTGTATAGGGTTTCCCAGGATCAACTGGTGGGTTTGAACTGACATCCTGTGTTTAGCAGTGCCACGCCGGGACTCCAATTTATCAATAGTTGGCAACTTAAAAAATACTTTCTTCCTTTTATGAGAAAGCCATAGTATTAAACATTTAAATACCTTGGGAAATTCAAAACCATTTGTTTCATTAAAGTATTTCCATTACAGTCCCTTCCTTTTTTGCTCCCACCCATCTGACCTCCCATTAAGTCTATGTCTGAGGGCCTTCAGCACCTCATCTCAGCTCAGTACTCCTGTTGTATCTGTTACTGCAGCTGCTTTGATCTCTAAATTCTTGACCATTATCCATTTATTAGATTTTTGTGTCTTTTGGCCGAATTACTTGGAGATTTGATTTTTCCACAGGGCAATGTGGATATATACTTTGATTTAAGATGGAGACTGCCTTCACCTTTATAATAGTTTCTGTTGGGGCTTTCCTCTATATGTTGGTGCATGTTGGTTGTGTTTATATGGACTATATTCCTTCTAGAATATTTCAAGGCAAAGAGACTGATCTTGGGGGCTGAGGAGATGTAGCTATTGAGCCTGGCCTTTGACACCAGCCATTAGTGTCAACTTTTTCACACCATGCTTTACTTTTCTGAGCCTGCATTTTTTTTTTTTTTTTTGAAAAGTAGGCATAATACCTGATATGATTGTCTTTAAAGCTTAAATGAGATTATAAATGTGAAAGTTTCAGGCATATATTAGACACTCAATACATGGTAGCTATTATTTATAGTAATTTTCATGTGACTGTTAGTAGTATTATTGATCTCTTGCCTTAGCCTCACAACCCCCAACATTTTCAAACAAGTGACATCTCGTTAAAAGAAGGAAAAGAAAAGTGAGGGAGGCGGGAAAGTGTGACAAAAACAACAGTCCTGAGATGAGTTCCAGGCAGGGTGTCTAGACACTTCCAGTCTATGAGTCTAGAAACAGCTTACCTTCCCTGAGTTCTCATAGCTGCTTGGGAGCCATAGTATGAACATAAATCAAAAAGTATTGCTACAAGATGCAGGCTCTAGACCCATGGACTGTGTAAGGTAGTATGCCTGTGGGCAGTTGGTTGGCTTGCAGAATGTGCCCTGTGGACATTTAAATGAATCAGTATTTTTTGTTTTACATGTGTACATCACATATTTTTGCTTTGTTCATTTGTGAACTATAAGATGCAAATGGGGAGTCACAGGGAAGATGTAGATTAACTGTTGTTGTAGGGAAGGAATTGTAATCACTAAGATGAAACAAAGTGTATTTTTTATTGAATGTAAAGTTGATGATCTTGTCTGTAAACCTTCACTCAATTCCCAATAAAAAGTTAAAAATATATATTGCTACAAAATCAAAATAACACTTATATAAGAAACATATTTAAATGTGAGGCTACTGTTTCTTAACATATCCTCCATCTAATTCTAAAATCTTCTGAATGAGGTATTTCCAACTCTCTAACCCTGCCCTGAATAACTGTGTACTTCTATTTATACCACTTCAAAACAGTTTGGGCATCCTTGAAGGACTCAAATCATGTTCCTTTTAAATGGTCTTTGAGTTTGGGGAACAAAAGGAAGTCTGAAGGGGCAACATCAGGGCTGTAGGGTAATAAGATTTCACAGTGAAATTCTCACTGGACAACCCTAGCTACTCTTGAAGAAGGAGCGAGGTGGATTGTCGTGACGGAAAAAAATTCCTCAGTGCAACTTTCCTGGATTTTTCTCATTGGTGCAGTTTTCAGCTTTCCTAAAACTTCTCCATAATACACCTGTGTGATCAATCATCCTGTGTCCTTCAAGAAAATCTATCAAAAATATTTCTTTAGTGACTAAACCTGGGTGCTCAACACCATAGTCTCAGGGAGGGACACCATAGTCAAAATGACACAACATAGTCCACAAAGACAATACTGTACATCTTACTTTGATGAGTAGCATCTGGAATATTATAAGTTTGTGAGCGACCATCAGTTATTGGTCTCTACATGTGTGGAGGAAGAAGAGTGAGCAGAATTGAAGATTGGGTATTATGAGCATCGGTCTCCATGACCCTGAAACCTGAAGAACTAGATGGTGTCCAGCTAGCACTACCAACTACTCTGAACAGTTGGTACTGGATAGAGCGGCATAATGTGTGGAACAAAACTCAAAATTATTAGAAAAAAAGACTGGGCTTGCTGGTCAGAAAGCAAGACTGGAGACACCTGACACTGTGGCACTCGACCCCCCTCAGGTCTGAAAGGAACACACCCTCTTTCAGCCAAGCATTAGACAGGTATATAGTGGGAGCAAAAGCACTGGTAAGAAATACTTACTATGAATGATGGAATGGTCAGTCATTCAAAATCAAAGGTACCACCGCTGGACAGTGGCAAGAAAGAATGGGAAGGTGGGTGTAAAGGAAACAGAATCCACAGAGAGGAAACAGGATGACTGTTGTTCCATGGAGGGGATTGCAGTCATTGACATGAAACAAAGTGTAGGTTTGTTGAATGTAAAACTGATGATCTTATGGTAAAATTTCACTCAAGTCACAATAAAAAGTTAAAAAAAAAAAAAAAAAAAGACTTGCCATAACCAGAAGCTGACCCCTGTGTCTTGAACTTAATTGGCCCAGTAGAAGCCACTGTTTTAATTATACGTTATTTATTTATTTATTTAATTTGAAGTCACCCTCATGAGACTAAGACAAGTATATATTACTGAGTGAACTTGTCTACAGCCATTCACTGATCACAGAGATGTGCTTAAGCAAATTGTATTTGAAATGAATCTGTGAATGTTAGAACTGGAATCCTAGTAGCGATACCTTTGACTTACCCTGGTACTTTGCTGTTCTAACTCCTCATAAATAGTGCTCCCCTATGGTGGTGGTGGCCGTTGAGTTGGTTCTGACTCATAACACACCTGTATATGGTTTCCAAGGAGCAGCTAGTGAGCTTGAACCGCCGACCTTGCAGTTCCAACTGACCTTGCAGTCCAGCGCATTAACCTGCAGTGCTACACCAAGACTGGTTTTTGTTGTTGTTAAGTACTGTGGAGTCGGTTCCTACTCATAGTGACCCATCACAGGGTTTCCGAGGCTGCAAGTCTTTTCGGGAGCAGAAAGCCTCATCTTTCTCCCATGGAACAGCTGGTAGTTTCTAACTGCCAGCCTTGAAGTTAGCAGCCCAATTCATAACCACTACGCTACCAGAACTCCTTCCAGGACTGGTGGATACTGC